CTGCTTCTTAATGCAAATATCTAAACAGCCTGTCAAATAGCAGCAACTCAATGCATTTTTGTAGACATGGTCACGAAAACTTGCTGAAGTTCAAACTGAACATCAGAATGAGGAAGAAATGTGATTAAAGTGACTTTAAACCTAACATGATTGTTGGTGATCTTCTGGGATCTTCCCACACAACCATTTACAGAGATCGTTCTGAAAAAGGGAAAATATCCAGTGAGCGACAGTTCTCTGGGTGAAAATACCTTGTTGGTACCAGAGATGCACGGCGAGAGTTTAACCTCCTAGAATGGTTTTGTCAAACACTATAAAGTCACAATAGCAAAGAGAAATTAAAAATGCATGCCATGAAAGAGTTTGGGTTTTAGGAGGTTAAGGTGATAGAATGGGAGCAATAACTCAAACAACCAATCAATACAAAGAAGGTAAGCAAAAGGGCAGCTCTGAACAGATAACATATCAAACCGTGGAGCAGACGGGATATAGCAGCAGAAAAGGACAATGTTTGCCACTACTGTCAGGTAAACACAAGAACCTGAGGCCAAAATTCGTACATGATAACAACCAGAAGACTCTCTCTTTGGATGATCTTTGGATGGATGCTATGTAAATTTATTAAGAAAATGAAATTATAGCAAATTAAGTCAATGCACAATTACAGGTTTTAAAAAATACCCCCTTAGTGAAAACCATTACTTTCTTTGTAGGTCCACGTGTTTATCTAATGCAGTGGTTCTCAATTGTGGTGTAGTACACACTTTTCATCAGTGATTGGAGAAAAGAGTGAGTTTGGGATTGTAAACACCTTTTCCCTAGCTTCTTGAAGTTAGACATGCTACGAAAAGTTTGAGAACTGCTGATGTGATGTGTGTGCCATGCCACTTCTTGGCAAAATATCCTGCAGTGCAACAAATCAACCACAAGAGGACATCTCTGCCTCTAAAAAAAGGAGCGAGACGTTTGGGGGAAAACCTAACAATTCATATACTGATCTGCTGTGAATGCAATTACTACTAATATTAACCTGCCTCGTAAAGTTGTGGAAGGTCCATTAATGGCAGACTTCAGGATTCGGTTTTAGCTCATATCCTCGCACTAAAATTTGGCCATGAAAGAGTTAAGGATGGAGCGATGTGTGCTGCTGGCTGGTGGGTGAGAAATCAAATACTTTCTCAGCAACAAAAGCACAGCATGACTTAGATGTTTCTGAGAGACCTTGAGCACAGTTTCAACTCACTTCAGACACAGCAGAGCCTGAAGAGGTGAGTGGACTTATTTGACATACTAGTCTAGTAGCTGAGATGGCCACCATCATAAAGACTGAAAGGCAAAAATCACTTTAATTTTTCCTGCTAGGTCTTCACGTTTGTATCCATTTTTCTCCCCGTCATATAGATATTGACGGGGAGAAACAAATTCTATACAGATTTGTTACATTGTATGCGATCATTTGTCACTCGTAACAAGTTTATGTGTATCCATATCTAAACCACTGCTGCATAAAATGCATGAGAAAGATGAGAAGAGAAGACACACCTCTTTTAAAACAGCACTCAAATCCCGGCTTAGGGAAGAGTGAGTCCTTTTCTTCCCCCCCCCACCCCTCGCTCATGTCTATCTCTCTGCAATGTGGTTAATGGCTTTCTCTTGTGTCATTGGCCTCCCTGTCAGATGTGACGTTGACAAAGAACCAATTTGGGGACTCAGTCAGCCACAGCAGTGAGGTGTCTGAGAAACTTTTTTTTGAACGATAAAGACAGCAGAACATAGCGAGGTGAATCTGAGATAGGTGTGCGAGTGCTCAGTTAATGGCCTCCTGAAACCTCCTAGGGGTCTTACACAAGTAGTAGGAGATGTTACATGTTTCCACATTATAGTGCTTTTAAATCAGACTCACAAATACGAGGGTGCACAGACCCGCATTAGCACAGTCCAGTGCTAGAACCATTACAATACTCTTCACATTAGCGTCTAATAATGCTGCCTGCAGACCAACACCACTCTCGGACATTTGATCCAGTGTTTCCAGACACACGATCTGAAAGGTTCTTACGATCTAGAACAAAATGTTTTCCTGCGCTGAGGAGTCACAGATAGATTGCAAACATTTGTAATTTAAGCGACAGATTGATCACAGTGCAGCGGTACAGTGGAAGTTAGCTGCAGGCATCTTCATAGTAATTTGCTAAATGTCTTAAAATTATAAATACAATTAGTTTTATTAATGTAAGGAAACAAACATCAATCTACTTTAAAAGATAAAACAATGAATCAGTAAAGCCTCCATTAAAAATTTAAATATGCAGTGGTGTAGTATATAATATAGACTCCTAATCATAATATGAATATATTACATGCATATGTATCTGTTGCTTTTTTATTTTAAAAACCTAGCAAACTGATATGATCATCATCTTTGCTTTGAACTCACAGTTCATACAGGGGATCAGGCTGACTACATAAGCCTCCCATAAGAGAAAATAACCCAGGATCAGGTAACTGTTTTATCAAATGACATCAACACAAATCGAGACAAGGGCACGCTGATGTTAGAATAAATAAATAATAAAGAAAAGGCCCATTTAACCTCAAAAATCTTCTCAACAAACATATCTGTCATTCTGTCACGAGCTGTTCATTTATGGGTTTAATTGACAGAAAAACAAATGAATTAATAGAATATTGATGCTATTGTAGATATAAGCAAACTGATACTTAACCAAAAATGGCTCAACCTCTTTACATAACCTTTGAGTTATGATCTTTTCAAATACTTTCATAACATTAGAAGTTAAAGTCACTAGCCTATAAACATTGTCTACCTGAGGACAAACCTTTTCTGGTGCTCAGAAATTGTGCCACACCTGTTTTCAATTGCTGTTATCTAATAAACACGTGTGCAACAGCATCAGAATTGAATAATATGAAAATTATTTTAATGTACTGCCAAAAAGATCAGTCTGTCTATTGTTTTAATATCTACTGAGTAGTGACGGAGGATAGTGACTTATGAAAATATGAAATATCAGGAGGGGTCCAGTTTTTTTCCAGCACATTCATAAGACTGTGAATTAATGACTAAAAAGGACTCTGGTGGTTATACAAGCAGGAGTCTGTTTTCCTCTCGCCATTTCCGTGTGTGCACACCGTACAGTAGGTGACACACAGCTGTGTGTTTGTATCAGAGAGCATGTGTTCCCAATGGACAGAAAGCAGAATAGTGAAAAAGAGCAGCAGGCTATGTCTGACTTTGACTGAAACCCTCCCTTTGTTGACGGCCAGTTTTAACACATTCTCAGTACTAGTAGCACTGCCAACATTATGCCACTGGCTCCTTTAAATAGAAAGAGATGGTAGACTCCTAAACTGCAGACAGCATCTCTTAAGGTATCGCTGAATCTGCGCATACCTTCTTTAGAATCCAACTTGAGATGACGACACGTTCAGATAAGGCTATGAGTGACACTGAAGGTAAGCGCAACAGGTTAAATGGTTGTGAGGTTGCTATGGTGTAAGCTTCTTCTTTATCTTCTTCTGGCTGCTCTGTTTATGGGTCACTACAGCAGATTATGTCACACCAACCCTCTGCATGTCCTTCTTCACTACATCCTCAATCTTGTCTCTAACTTTGTCTCCAGACTGCTCGACCTGAGCTGTCCCTCCCACTGAAAAACATCTTACCATCTTCTAAGTCTTCCACTTCCAGCTTCCACCTGCTGTCCTTTTGTTAATGCCACTGTGTCCAAACCACATCATAGCAGCTCTCACTATCTATAGAAGGCATAGGTGTAACAATTCTCCAAAACCACACGCCATTTTTTTATTCTCCCCACAGCCGTGATTGCATGATCATGATTGGATCATACAGCTTTTACCAGAACAGAGTGCTGTAGGCTTCAGCAGCTCCAAATGGGTGTCAGTGTATAGGACCACAGCAGCTTTGAATGAGAAAGTTAACTTAAGGAAATCATAAGAAAGAGAAACAGGAACCTGAAAGGAATCCAAATTGATAAAAATAGCAAGTAAAAGTTTAAAAGGGGAAGAATCCAAAATTCCAGCTGAAAGTGGTTGAAATATTTTTTAAAAAAAGAAAAAAAAGCCTACATCTCCTGTTAAATAAAAGTAAACAGTTCAAATTTTGTTAAACAATGAGTAGATGTTGGTATTATTACCCAAAGGTTAGGATTAAATGTACTTATTATAATGGATATTTGGTGTGCTAGACTAAACATAATAGCCAAATAGTAAGCAGGCCAGCCTTGTGCTTTAGAACAGGTGGGTTTAAAAATTATTTTCAGGGTTTTGTGCAGGTTAGCATGTCCAGGTTTCAGCAGTAGATTTGGATTGGATGCCCCATTCATCAGTTACCACATTCTAAATATCATTACTACATATTAGACCATTCATTTTGTCTTTATTAAGTACACTTTAGTATAAAAGACTCATCTTACTGTATTTACTTAAGTTATTTCTGCTATAAATATACAGTTTTCACTTTGAGAAAAATAAGAAATGGCTGTGAGTCAAAAAAGAAAAGAAAAGAAAAGTGATTCTTGACTTATTGACCCATAATCTGGCAAACATATCTCTCGTGAATAATAACAAGTCATTCTGAGGAACATTTTTGTCACAGGGTAGGCGCTGCAATCAATGTTTAACAAAGAAATATATTTTTTTTTATTTATCCAGATTAAGTCTCATTGGGAATAAAAATATATTTTTCAAGAGAGATCTGCAGAAGATGTCACCAGAAGTCGCAATAAATAAATAGCTAAACAAATCTGAATATAATGTAAGACGCAGAGTTGGTAGAATAACGTTCTAAATCATGGCGACTAAATTCTATCCATCAACATAAAAAAGTCTATGGGGGCAAAACGCATTCAAACATCGCCAGCCATTTTTTGGCAGACATGTTATAATGCAAATGATAGAATTACAGAATTGGCCTGCACGGATGCTTTTCTAATCCGTGTTCTTTTATCTGAAATGACAGCAGCGTCAAACGCGTCAAATGACAAACAGACATGAGAGCAGACTAGGAACAAACATGAAGGACATTCACGCATTTTTGCATCTGAGTGTGTAAATCCCACTGAAGTGAAAGCTACTGAGCCCAAAACAACGCAAGAAACAAACAAAAAACTTAAGCAGTGCTGTTAGTAAAATGCGGCTCAACAGATTTAATCTATAGAACACATTTATCCAGTAAATAATCTGTCGCAGATAGAGCATACAGACAGACGATTTTAAACCGAAACTATGGACCAGTCTGTGTGTTCAGCATGAGCTCCCGCGGTGACCTAGAGAGCCCCCTTTACTCCGAGTTCAAGCTCGACTTACCTCGTTAACCCATCGACCTTTCCGGTAAACCCTGGCACAGATTTTCCTCAAAAGCCACCTCGCAGACCCGCCCCCTCTTTTGTCAGTCATGCGGTGCAGATGGCGTGCATAGGTGAACGGTCAGGTAAGCAGAGTGCAGAATCGGTCAGATTTAATTTGATCTCCTATCAGAATGTAATGTCGTGTAAGGCGATGGACATGCAGACGCTATTAAAAAGGATGTAGGCCAGCTTGAGGCCGGCCTGAGGTCAGGTTTAGGTTGAACTTTGGTGCTAACGTTGTTGTTGGTGTTGTTTGAAGGCAGCATTCATGGCTGTTTCAGCAGCTGCTGTCTATAAAAGCATTCATCTTTATGTATATTTTATTTCATGTTCCTTTAACTTGATTCATTTTAATATAATTATTACAAAGACTACATCGTAGGTCATTCCTCTATTTAACTCTGATATATGGGCGAGGGCAGTTTAGCACACTGAACATTAGGCTGTATTGCAAGCACAGGCCAGGTCCTGCTATAATTTGTGCAAAGTCTGCCAAATAATGCATATACTTAGTCTTGTCTTTCACACTTATGAGTTTTTTGTTTATTCCTTTCTATACACAAATATGTTGCCTTTAGTAGTTTTTGCTTACAGGTAGCCCTGAAAAAAGAAATCACTCAGAAATGAGGAATCCCAGTTTAACCCTCACTGCCCTTCGTTGTGAAGCACTGAACTACAGTTTTTTTTATGAAACAAAAGCATGGGTTTCATCTAAATTATTTAGGTGTGTGTGGCAAGAGAGGAAGTTTAATGATTCATGAACCCATCAGCCAAGTGGCTTTGAGTCTTTCTTTCCAAAGTGTTGTTGTAGAGCCATAAAGGCCCACGGTGATGGTGATGCATTCAGGATACTGTGTGTCCTGATTGATGAGCTTCCTGGAAACACCCTGGCAGAACAGAAGCCGTCTCAGATTACAATGTACCACGCAGTCTTTCTCTGTTGTTGTTTCACCACTACAATGATAATCAAGACACTGTCTGTTAGGTCACGTTTTTGGTTTGATATACTGTAAACAGATTGCGTGTATATACTGTAGTTAAAATAAGGGATTTTTTTTCCAGTCGTAGTGTTGATGAGAGCTAAAAGAGAATCACTGCTATTCAAAAGAGGAGACAAAAAAGAGGAGTTTATTTTAACAGAAGACTTGCATTCCTTTCATATCTGGTTAATGTTGTTGAACTAACTTAACTAATGGAAGTTATTCAAAATTCTTTCAACATATGTCTGGTGGGGATTTAATGAATTTTATGCAGGTCTGTTCATTATTTATATCAAAGTATAGTACACACAATAGTGTAGTTTATTTTTATGTAACTTGTAACTTTACAAGTCTTCAGGTCGACCCACTCTGATTTGCCTAGAGGTGTGTGTGTGTGTGTGTACTAAAGTCCCATTTTTGAGTGCACACTAATTAAAAAAGAAAAACTTCACATTGCAAAAAATAACTGGTGTTAATTTCTGTAAATAGCTTATGTGAGTTCTTAATATAAACAATTGTATTTCTCAAAAATACAAGACAAAGAATGCTCTTTAATTTGAAATTCTTGGTTACAAAAGTGAAGAAAATGTCATTTTCATTCAACTTTGAGAGGAAGTTGTACCATAAAGTCTCAGTACCGTTATCTAATCTGAATTGAACAACGTTCGTGAGTTTCCAGATGTTATTCTAAATGTAACTGAGAAAGTGTTTTTACATATATGCATATTTTTCAATTTTAAGACCCACTTTGTAGGGATGTACGTTATCCTGGAGGAATGTGATAATTCAGCCTAAGTTTAAAATATACTAAGAGGCATTAAAAGCACAACAATGCAGCATTTTCATACAACATTTATTCATAAAATGACTTGTAATAATTCATCAATAAATAAATACATGCATATCTAGAAAAGTACTTGATGAATGAAGAAGCTATAATTGCACCGCAATCACTATTGAGCAGAAAATATCGTGAAAATTCGATGACTTAATATTAATGTTACTGCAGTTAATAATGATATTAAATATTACTGCATTACGCTGACTGCATTCCTTTATATAAGAGGTGTTAAAAACATCGTGCATGACATGAACTTTAGCTTTTAACATTTTAACAAACAGTTCACTCAGAACTCTCTAGGTGGTGATGCTGTGCAATAGTTGGATAATGAAACAGAATAGAATAGAAATATCCTTTATTGTCCCTTACTGGGGAAATTTGGGTGTTCCAGCATCAAAGTGACAGGCAGATGGAGCACGCAGATTCAAAAAACAATTTGCAGCATAATGAAAAAAATACAGTACAGTTAATAAGTTATTAAAAATTAAACAGAAAAAAAAAACAGAAAAAGGAAAAACTGTGCAAATAAGAGCAGGGATATTAACGGCTATAATGTAACTATAATATAAACAACTTATTGCGTTTGTTGGGCGCAGTGATGGTTATAAAGTCTACCAGCTGCGGCGAGAGAGGACCTGCGATGATGAATGCCCTGTCCCCAAACACGTGCACAGGTAGATTTCCCTGTTTACAAAACACCACACAGTAGTCAGAGCATTTAACGTCCTGACAAGTACTGCAGACCTCCTTTGCACTCTACAGTCAGAGACTTCAGACGCCGGCCATTTTACTGTGGCTTCTGGTCTCTTGCAGACATGCCTCGTCAATTTCTAAAGGTGAATCTGAGTGAGGTGGAGGAAGAGACGCAGTTGCTTGCAGAGAAAGTATATGCATCGGCATTAAAAGAAGAAGAAACCAAAAATGCCTTGTCGATGTTCACGATGCCTGAGGACTGCCCAATTGGCCTCCAGCAAGCCAAAGACCATGAACTGCTTAAGGAGCTGGCAGAGCAGCAGTCAGAGGAGACTCTTAAGAGGTAAGTCCTGCTTGGACTCTGAACCGCAGATCAGTCTGTTCATGCAAGAAAAATTATCCTATAAAAAACAAAACAAAAATCCCTTTATAAGACGTATATTTTCAGTTTTGCTTATTATTTATGTGGTGTTAGATATACATGAGCCAAGACTTAAAGTTTTCAGTCTGCTCCTTTTGATTTTTCTTTTGTGGTCTTGATTCTGTATGATGTAATATAGTCTTCTTAGGCACACAGCTCTGACTGTGAGCACTGAAGCCACACCCACCTGTTATTTAAATCTTTTGTTTTCCATAAAAATGGAAGGTGGGGGTAAAGGGGGATGAACTAAAACAGATTGTACAAAGTTCAAACTGTAAATAATGCAAAGCGGCTCTGTGGAGTCTAATGATATAAATGTGAAGTTAAAACTGAGCATAATAGGCCCCTTTTAATGAGTCATCTTACCATGATTTTAGGTAAAGACTCGTTCATTTAAGTGAGCTTTGCACCAAATGCTAATCAAGTTGCTGACTTTTCAGGAGGAACAGCCTGAGGATGATTCGTTCCAAGTCACTTTGCCTACAAGTCCCAGCCAATGCAGATTGGGCACGCCTAGTGACACCATTCATGTCCCCCAGTTCCACCAGCTCATCTGTGCAGGAAAACTGCCCTGATTATCAGAGGGTTACTATTAGTGGAGATTACTGTGCTGGTGTAAGTACTCTCGTTGAAAGTGCCAACTGGTGTAGTTACATACATATACATCCCATATGTAATATTTTGAATTTGAATATTAAATGGTAAAAAAAAAAAAAACTCAGACAAATGTGAAATGACAATATCTTCAAATTGAATGTAACATGATTTAAGTGTGCAGTATCCAAAAAATCGAATTATTGGAAGTAGAGACAACTGCATGTCTTCCTGCCACCCTCTGAAGGAATTAATTCAAAATCTTAAAAGTGCAAAACTGTCTACATTTTGAAGTATGAAAGATGAATTTAGATGCCAGTCAAAGCATTGTTGCTTCAAAATCTAGCAGCCAGTCACTGCACAGTGTCCCTCCATGATCCAGTGTAGCCTTCACTATTACTACTATTGGATTAGACTTGAATTTATGTTTAATGCTCATCCTCCTCTCAGATCACACTGGACGACTATGATCAGGCCGCCAAAAATCTGTTTAAAGCTCTGCTTCTTCGAGAGAAATACTCAAAGCTAGCCTATCACAGATTCTGCAGAACGACGAGCAAGTTCCTACGAAGTGCTCAGAACACGACCTGGAGCGAAGAAGATGAGGTCCTTCCAGGTATGATGTACGAAGCTGGGCTGTATGTATAACAACATTTAAAAACATCCTTTGTTCTAATTTATATGAAAGTAATGGAAAAACCTTTGCGACCACCAGACATGTGCCCATGTCCAGAAGCTGGGGAGGATCCCTACTGCATGGACAACATCCCCAAGGATCTAAATTATAAACTGAAGATGAAGGATGGGATAGTTTATGTGTATGATAATGAAGAGGCTTTCAAACAAAACCAGCCTCATGACCTTCCTTACCCAGACTTGGAGACCTTTGCTGTAGAGCTGAGTCATGTGCTTGCCATGACTGCAGATGGACCCACGTAAGTTTCCAAAACAATTATGCAGACATGCTGGTTGAAAAACCGGTTATCATCCATTCTGCACTTTTTAGAGAATGAACTGAGTGTCGCTTTTAATTTTCAGGAAAACCTACTGTCATAGGAGACTAAATTTCTTGAGTTCAAAATTCAACCTCCATGAGATGCTCAATGAGATGGCTGAGCTCAAGGAATTAAAACGTGTGCCTCACAGAGATTTCTACAATGTTAGAAAGGTTAGTATTCCATCTCTGGGAAGTGGGGCAACCATTACATCTGACTGAACTTTAAAGTGAGTGTAGATACCAAAGCATGCTCTGCAAACTACCCAGATTAACCTGCAGCTGTTATCATTTAATTGCTTGGCAAAAAGCACTTTGAAGAACTTCTGAATGTGACAGCAATGTCGTTTGTAGAGGAGGCAGAGCCTGAAGCCTCAGGGGAAGCTTCACCAATTACACCATCCAAAGTAAGAGCTGGTTCTGCATCTTTGGCACAAAGTGAAGCACATTTTCAGTGCTGCTGCTCCTTTTGTCACAACAGAGCATCACTTCCACTCTGAGATCCATCTGGAAAGGAAAAGCTAGTTGAGGTGGTTCAGACATCTGTTTTAGTTGCCTCTTGGATTGCTGGGCCTGAATACCTTCTGAGCATGCCCAACTGGGAGGGGTTAAATATAGGATATTAGTGCGTGCAGACTGAACATACTGTTTCTTTCTTGCAGGTGGACACGCACATTCATGCAGCTGCATGTATGTCTCAGAAACATCTGCTCACCTTCATCCAGAAGACGTATCAGACTGATGCAGAACGTGTAGTTTTAGAAAAGGGTGGACAAAGAATGACACTCAAAGAGGTTTTCCAGCACCTCAACAAGGACCCCTATGACCTTACTGTGGACTCTCTCGACGTACATGCTGTGAGAAATATTGTCTATTCTTTTGAATTCAAATATTCCATTAAGACAATATATTTCAATATAAGAATTTCAGATTTTGTCATTCTGCTGCTTGCATCGTTCTGGGATTCTGAATCACACTTTATGATTTATTACATTTACAGGGGAGACAAACCTTCCACCGCTTTGATAAGTTCAATGCGAAGTATAACCCAGTGGGAGCCAGTGAGCTTCGTGAAATCTTCCTGAAAACTGACAATGTTGTTAATGGAGAGTATTTTGCTTGCATCATAAAGGTACTATCATCATGTGTAGCATTTCATCAATTTCAAGACGAAGTGATGCAGAGAAAACTTGATGCACTCTTCCTCTCACCATTTTTTTTTTTTTTTTTTTTTTAGGAAGTGGCCCGTGGCCTGGAGGAGAGCAAGTATCAGCATGTAGAGCCACGCCTGTCCATCTACGGAAGGTCTCCTGACGAGTGGTACAGTCTGTCCAAGTGGTTTATTGACCACAAATTATACTCTCCAAACATAAGGTGGATGATTCAAGTGCCCAGAATATAGTAAGTGCTTCATGCTGAAAATGCAGGCTTTTAATGTAAATGCATTTTGTGAAATCTAAAATATACTTTTATGTTGCAGTGATATTTTCAAGCTAAAGAAGCTAATACCCAATTTTGCCAAGATGCTGGAGAACATATTCCTTCCTTTGTTTGAGGCCACAGTCAACCCACAGAAGCACAAAGAACTTCACATTTTCCTCAAATATGTAAGATTTGTTGTACCAAAACAGATCTCAGTAAATATTATGAGGATCAGTTTTGCACAAAAAGATGTACTTCATGTCTTCAAATGATGCATTTATGTGCAGTATAATAATAGTTGGGTGATATAGCAGACTATACTGTAGTGGTAAGCAGATGCACCCATTAGGGCAATGAAAATATAATGACGTATCAATATGAAAACATGTCTTTATAATATAAACTGGCTTCATAAAATGTAAAATTGTTCAGAAATACACTGTATGGGCAAAGGTATTGTGTTCCACTACTTAATATTGAAGTACAGGTGTTTTTAGTCCCATTGCCACAGGTGTATAAGCTCCTGTGGGTGTAACCTGCAGGTGGCCCAGTACGTCTGTCCATATATTGCACAATATAAAAATAACTGACTGTTGATTGGTAACATTTGTGGAAACAAATGACTAATAACCATTTAATATTAATACCTGCCGGGCTTCATTAAAAAATCCCAGCAGAAAATGACTGTTTTTGTGGATGCAGGTGTCTGGCTTTGACAGCGTGGACGATGAGTCCAAACACAGCGATCACATGTTCTCCTTCAGGAGCCCAAAACCAGAACAGTGGACTTCAGTTGAAAATCCTCCATACAGCTACTACATCTTCCACATGTACGCAAACATCATAGTCCTCAACAACCTCAGAAAGTAAGTATCATTCCCCAGGTATGGTGAAGTATCAGAAGCAGGCAGATTGAATTTACTTGATGTCTGCTAAATGGGTGACTCAATATAAGTATATGAAACCCAAGGTAATTCAGAGTTCTGCACAGAAAGGGAGAAAAATGCAAAGACAGTTAAAACATGTCAACTATATGTGTATATCATGATATAAAGCTGTATTACTCTACCCTGTAATGATTAATCTTTAGATGGCTAAACGCAGACAAGAAATTAGGGTTAAGATGAAGTTGCAGACATGCTTTAAGCCCCAATTTAAATGTTTTATCTCAGATGTACAGAAAGGTTGTACCAGCAGTGAAGACCATAAAAAATAAAAGCTGATTCATTTTTTAATATTCTAATTTTGGAAACGCACAGACGGCTTAAGAGGTATCTGCCCTGCCGAATAACTGACAACTCCTTTGTGTGACAATAAGAATACATCCTTTTTTCTTTCGTAAACACATAGATGAAGGAAGACTTGACATGGATGTAGGACATGTTAGACCCTGACCTAGCAGTGACAGTTTACTCTGTCACTTTGTATAACTGTCAGTGGAAGAGTGACTAATAAATTACAGGAAAGCCAGTTCTGAACTACTTGATGCTTAAAGCTTATCGGCACTCGGTGTGATGAAGATGATTAAATGCTGTTATGTGATGTTGCTTATTATACTCTTCTGCGGCTTGTATAGAGAGTGTGGACTAAACACCTTCCAGTTCCGTCCCCACTGTGGAGAAGCTGGATCACTCACTCATCTGGTCTCTGCCTTTCTCACTGCTGACAACATCTCACATGGACTCAACCTGAGGAAGGTACTCACGACTGTCCCGAGTTATAAACCAGTAAACCACAAAGCATTGCTTATAAACTGCAGAATATCCCAAAGGTCACCGCTATAGTACGGACTCCAACTCACTCAGCATTAAGATAAAACACACAATGACAGTGTGTACATTTGTGTGTTTTCCCATCTTTCACGTTCACGAGCAGCACCTCTGTCAAACTTCCTACAGAGCCCAGTGCTGCAGTACCTGTACTACCTAGCCCAGGTACCAATTGCAATGTCTCCACTCAGCAACAATGGCCTGTTCCTGGAATACTCCAAAAGCCCGCTAAAAGACTTCCTGCACAAAGGTCTGTGTGTGTCCCTGTCCACAGATGATCCCATGCTGTTCCACTACACCAAGGTAAAAAAAAAAAAAAATCTACAGGAAACTGTGTTTTCAGGTCATCATTCAGTGATCCAAAATCATTGTTTGCCTAACTAATACAGTATTTGTTATTTTGATTCATTTCTGTAGTCTGAATAAAGCTTATCTGCTATTTGTGTATCCTCTGAGGAACCACTGATGGAGGAGTACGCCATAGCAGCTCAGCTGTGGAAGTTCAGCACCTGTGATGTGTGTGAAATAGCCAGGAACAGTGTGCTGCAGAGTGGGTTTTCTCACCAGGTGTGGTCACATTCTTCATTTGAAAAAAGACAACATAAATTCTGTCTTAGCAGGGATTGGTCAACTCACACAAGATCTAATCATCCTTTCTTCCACCTACTGTTGTGATTACTTTTGCAAGGATAAGATGCACTTCCTGGGAGAGAACTATCTGAAAGATGGACCCGAAGGAAACGATATCCGTAAGACCAACGTCGCCCAGGTCCGGATGGCCTACAGACACGAAACGCTGTGCAATGAACTCAGCTTCATTGTTGATGCAGTGAAGGCTGAATCTATGAATTCCCACAGCGAGTAAAGAGGACCTCACATTTGACAGAATCGAAGCATGTTGCACTCTAAGATATCTACATTTACCTTTATTTATTTATTTATTTATTTATTTATTTATTTATTTATTTATTTATTTATTTATTTTGTAAAAAGTGCCTCTGGCTGGCTGTGATGGAATACAAACTTCAATAAAACTAAAACTAAAAGAGCAATACTTAACTAATTGCAAATTAATAGCAGATGGGTTTTCTAAAATTTAATTGTAAGGGACGATGCTCAAGTATTCAAAGGCAAAGCTGTGGAAGCCCACAAGATCTCATAGAAACTTTTCACAGCCATTAGAAGAGTTACCAGTGAGAGAACAAACAAACAGTTTGCTTAAAACAAGCTTCAGTGACTTTTAAAAAAGCTTGAGAGATACTGAAGAGTAAAAACTAGAATAATGTGGATTTAAGAAGTGGATAAACCTGCAGAAAAGCTGTTTTGAGTTTTTGTTGTGTAGAACACCAAACCCGTGTGAGTATTTAAAATCATTTTATTACAAACATTGCCCTCCAGTGGCTAAAATGCACCATTTAACAGAATACAAAAAGAAATCATGTTACAGCCATTCTGTCTCTTAATTTAACACAAATCGAGGATCACAAACAGTTTCTCATTTATTGTGCGTCGTCGCCCACTTCTATCCTCTCATCTTCCTCAGCAGCTTTCTTGGTTTCTGTAGGGGTCTTCACACAGATCCACTCTTCTGTCTGGATGTACTCTTTCTGCTCTTTCACGTCTGACTTCTGAGAGCAACGTCTTCTGTTTTTTTATTAACAGATGGACAGGAAAAAGATGTAATAATATGCACCAAGAGAAACTTTATTGTGTTTTATGTATTATTAAAAAAAAAAAAAAAAGCACTTACAATTTGAGGTATGTCAGGATGATTGTTATAAGCAGAAGAAGCGCACAGGAGCAGAAGATGAGCACAGCTTTTCCTAAAATATGAAACATGCACGCTGTTGATAACGAGGCCTTTGCCTGTCTATTAGTCTTGTGCTGTGTTAACTGACTGTGACAGAGTTCAGATTACGAGTCCCATACCTGCAGTAAAGCTTTGTGAGCTGCTGGCAAAGCGGGCTGGTTCTATCTCACTGTCGAGCGTTTCAGGGGTCGAGGAGGAAGATGTGGATGGTGGTGTTGTGGTGTGGTGTGTGTGACCCACGCCATGTGTGCTCTTCAAAGGACTGTCAGTTACTTCATCCAATCGTTGTATCGCTGCATCTGTGCAAGGATTAGACGATTTTCAAACAATTCTGATTATTTTTTCTTTTCTTTTGTACTTCCTCCTGTTTGAAATGATGATTATGTTTTGGAAAGTGTTATGAGTGTATTGTATGTATTTGAAAAACCTTCGATAAAAATGCTCTCCAATGTTTTTTTGTTTTTTTTCCATCCTAGTTATATGGAATATACTAAAATGCTGCTGAATACAAATTAAAATCCAATGCGAATACAATAAAGCATCAAAGTTTGTGTTAAGAGTATTCATTAATACTAATGTATTCTTATTTACATTGACTATACAGCAGACCTGTTTTATTCTTTGAATAACAGTAAGCAGTGAACAGCATGCACAATCACTTTTTAAATATCTTTTGTCTCTTCATAAGTAAAATGCAGGTGCAAAGTTACTCACCTGTCTCGTTGAAGCAAAACACATCAAACTTTTGTTTTACGCTGGCTCGCCAGGGCACCAAGCCGCTCTTATTCCTGCCACAGCTGGGAATTGGGTGGATGCGGGGAATGACTGCGAAGTGTTCATCAATCCATCCAAACCTGAACAAAATATTACATTAGGTGCTCCTCGTTATATTACTCAGAGGTGATACTGAGGTGTTTTTTTTTTCTCACTTTGGTCTCACCTGCATGTTTCTAAACCTCTAGAAAGAGCTTTCTGTACTTGTGCTTTTGAAGCAATGTTCAGTCCAAGGGACCAGCAGAGCCTGCGAGCTTCACTGGCATTGAAAGCATACTCAGGCTGGTTGAGCTCATTTAAAGATGTGACCAGCATTACTCCTGCAATACTTTGATTGAATCCTGGGGAAACTGGAAAAAGCATATTTATATTTACTATATGTGGTAGTACAATAATTTATATATATATATATATATTTGTACATATTAGAAAATATGTGAAATAACTTACCTCTGAGGTTCCTTATGTCAGGCATTTGAACAGACAAGGCTGAAGTAACGAGCAGCGCTGCTGGGAGGCAAAGCCAGATGATGTTCATGACTGGTCAGAGTAAAGACAGATGAATGCTGGGTACCACTGCTGCTGCAAGGTTTATGTGTCTCTGAGCCAAAAGGCACGGTTAAATAGAGGTGATCATGCTCACTGGGATGTGTGGACTCTGTCACTGCCAGAGAATAACGGAAAAGGAAGAAGGAAGTAGTGCACATGGGTCAGATCAAGAGCCATCCTATGTTCTGGGAGCAGGGCTCAGGAGACGATAAGTAATACATCAAAAACACTAATCTGCAGAAATTCAGTAGAAGGGGAAAAGCAGTGCACACGTGTTCCCATTCAGCATTTTTAATGTGAAATGTGTTTTACTTCAAAAATAAGTTATGTTTTTCAGTGTTCAACTGCAACCAGTATTTTCAACAGGCACATAATTAACTAATACTACTACACTATAAATAACTAACACATATATATATATATATATATATATATATATATATATATATATATATATATATATATATATATATATATAACACTCACATTTACTTATTAGAATTCTCTTTTGAATCTTATTACATCGAAAAAGAAAGTTTATTAAAATAGTTTGCTTACTCTCTTTGCACTGAATAGAATTGCGTACAGTTTTGTTGTACTTTTTGTGTGATGAAAATAAAGAGTCTGTATATAGTAATTCTATTCTATTCCATGATTCTGTACAAACAATATATTAAAAGGATAAAGTGAAAGCACAAAAGGTGGGATTTGCAGTAGAGTTGTGAAAGTTTCTGAAAACCATGATGTAATACACTCGAGAAGAGATTCTCTTCTGTCCTGATGATTTCCTCTCTCTGGGAAATTCTCCGTCATGTGTGCGCTTATTATCTTTGGTCTCCTCAGATGAGCCTTTGGCACGCGGCCTCCTATTTCCACAAAAACATTTCTCCGCAAGCCCCGATGGCAGGAAATGACGCAGAGCCTGCTGACGAAGATGCAGCAGGGTTTTTGACAGATGTGAGGTGACACTCTGGATTAGAGCAAGAATGCTCATCGTACATATCACTTCTCTAAGAGTGGGGTTTGCATGTCCTTAAAGTTGTTATAGAATTAAACTAAATTAGACTATGAGACTTTCAAATGGGAACACAATAGAAATTCCCAACAGGTCTTGGTGAGAGAATTTAGACATTTTTCCAGCAAAAGTATCCTGTGGCCTCTGTTTGCACAGTTGCATCTGAACAAAGCATGGTCTAGTTTTGCAGTGTGGATACACACCATCACACCACACACCTAACGCAGACCCTGTAACCATAACTATAGCCCCTTAACTTTATCAACTATTACATTCTAACCCCCAACCATAACTCTGACCCTAACTGCCCCCTTTTATAAAAATTTTGTGGACATTGGCAGGTTTTTTTCCCCTGCATTCCAAAACTATATCATAACAATGTGATTGGATACTTGCAATATTGACCCTGGACCAGCATTGAATATGATGATCCAGGAACAACACCAATATGGGGATATCAGATTATTCTGGAACAGAGTGGAGATATTTGGTCTTAATGCACAGCTCCATGTTTGGTGTTTGGTGAGAATCAAATACAGCAGACCTCAACTCAATGGAAATGCTGTGGTGCGACTTTAGAACATCTGTGCAGGAATAAATGCCCCCCAAACTCGATGAAATGGATCAACATAGAAGCATGGGCCAAAATTCTGACACTTCAAGTTATTGCTGCTAAAGGTGGTTTTGCAAGCTACTGAATCATTGGCAGTACTTAGTTTTCATAGCAACGAATATTTGTCGCTACTGAAATGACTAGAGGAAATATTTCAGGCACTTTTTATTTAAAGGAGAGGTGACAGACCATAAAATGAACAGAGAACGGACAGCACAGGCGGCACACATGTGCAAAGACAGAAAAGAAATCATGAAGTCTAAACAGTGCTCGTTTACAAGAAAAAAAAAATCTCTCAGTGCTCTGAAGTAACAATCAAACATGGCACAAATGAGAACCATGAGCTGAGTATTGCACTTGAAGAACTGCTGTGGAATGTGCTTACATTTGAAACATTTTTTTAATAGAAAAAACAACAGATAAAAACATTTTTCTTTAAATATGTATTAAAAGTCTCTCAGGGACTTCATTATCTATCAAACCTGAGAGATTCTATTGTGTAGATAAATATACAATGTTTCTACTGTGGCATTTAATGAAAAAGTGCCATATTCAGCATTCAAAGTACCAGAACCAGAATGTATAATTACAAGATCTAATTTAATTAAATATCTATTTCAGCACACAATATAATTGGTCCCTAAACAGAATCATCTTATCTTTTGCTGCAGCAAACATCCTTTCAACTTTTCATTTCAAGCAAGATTATAACTTATCTCTGCTGACCATGAAGGCCTCACGAGCCATAAAGCCTCCCAAAATGTCTCTGACCCTTGAGTATCGGGGTCATTTGATTCAAGTGTGTCTGATGATATGGTAAACTGGCAGAGACGTGATGTATGAGGTCTCTGTTATTCTGTTTAGCGGGTTCTTTCGTTGCACTCTTACACCCAGTCCAAAGATCTCAATCAGTGTCTCACACAAAGTTCCTCTTCCCTTATGTGTCCTCGTGTCGGTTGTAATAGTCACTGAAGAATGAATAAATACTGAACACCACACACACAGCCACAAACAGCGTCAAAGTGAGCCATAGAAGCCGCCGACTCGTGGATACCTTGGGGCAGAACTCGCCTACAACAGCCAGGACTTCCTCCATCCTCCTGCAAAGATAATAAGTTCATATAGCAGGTGACAAAATATTGGGCGGGCGAAAGTGGTCATTATGGAGGAACTACAGAAGTTTCTTTAAATTACAGACATTATCTAAACTATAAAAAGACAGGGAAAAAGACTGTATATATTTGTTGAAATAATGGCTGTGGAGGCTAATTTTACTCTCACTTTTAATCCCACAAGATTAATTTAGCGATACGCATGTAAAAGTTATATGCAGCTGTGCAACCTTTGCAAACTGTGCAAAGTTCTTGAGCTTTTTCCTGTAATTTTTTAAAGTGGTCTTGAGCAAAAGTTGCCAGACATTGGCTGCGTTTTCACTCATTTTCAGTCCAGTCCTTGTACCTGACTATTTTCTTTCTTTTTCTTGTTTTGACAAATGAA